GAGTGGGGCAGATGGGACTCTTCTTTAAACCTACAACATAACATAAAACCTTGTAATAGGCTTTTCCACGACTGGATTGATCATAATGAGATTGCATTTTCAATAGTCACTATAATTGGGTCGCACATTTTCGAATTTTCGGGGAAATAAAATTTTGGTAAATAGGGATCTAAATATGGGAAGATTCGCCGTCAAAAAGTTGTTTCATTTTCCCAGAGTTGAGTAAGACGGAGTTTACAATTGTCCACAGCATATACTACAGTAGACTGTGGAGTTACTGAGAACCCAGCGGCACATAGCCCGGCAGCAAAAATTGATCCAAGTAACCTCCTCCCCCCCCTCCACCCCTCCCATGCTTGCTGCGTGACCTCGATTTGGCAAGCTTACACGCACACCATGAGAAACAAGATACTTACAGAGTCCTGTCAGGCACAGCTTCCGCTCAATGAGGTACTTAAATTTTTTAAAGGTTTATTTATTTTCTCGTTGCTCAGTTGCCCAAAAAAAACTTTGCCCGAGGCAATCACGTACTAACACTGATAAAAGATTCCTTGAATATCGGAAAAAAAAATTATGAAGGAGTCTTGGTCACTTCATTTCCTCTCGAAAGGCCGCGTTAATTATAATGAAAGATTGTCACGTAAAAAATTAGCAAATGCTTAACCCAAATTTCATCTTGAAAACGATGCGGAATTCGTAATTTAGCTTCCTGCTACGGTTGAAAAGTTTTACCGTTGACTCTTTTTTTGCGACGTAAACGTTCAAATTTGTAACTTTTTATGCCTAACGGACGAATTATGCTGTGCCTTTTTTACGGCTAACGGTTAACCCCTTTGACACACCATAAAAAGACACTTTAAAATTCAGTCTTTTTTGGATGAAACATTGACAAAAATAGATTGGAAACGGACATTTTCGAGGAAAGGGAACCTTTTTTAGGGGGGGAGGAAGGGTCATTGCATAGCAGTGTATTTCCGGCTATTATCTCACTAGGTGTTCCTTGCGAAACAACGGAAAGGGGATGGGCAATCGGAAAACGGATGCTAGCGGTAACGACAAAAACGTAAACATATCCGCTATAGAAAGCTATACCGCTAGAAAGCTGATAGTGATTTTTACATTATTACATAACAAGCGTGAAGGACAGACGCATAAATAACGTCACTATTAACAATTTTTATGCTTCTTTATCATCTGAAACAAATGTATTCCATGGTGCTGTGCGTCTGATTTGTAAAAGACTACAGAAGACGTCAAGTATGCGTGACACGCTCGGTTTTGCGCCCTGTGTCCTACGTTTTCATTGTTGCACAATTTAGAGGGTCGCCCATACCCTTTGTAAAACTCAGTCACGAAAAAATATTTGGCCTTTTCATGCATCACATATGATATCCAAAACTCTTTCACTTTCACGCGAAACTAAAGACAATCACGTTGAATAACTCTCTTACTTTCTCGTCTTGACCAGTTTTACGCCACAAAAGATGATGTAATATCTCATCTTTGTTGTTCAAGAACCAGTCGTGGTCTGTTTTGCGACTTTTATCGATCCACATGAAGTCTATCTCCTGTTAACACCTAACCACAGCCGTTAGAGAACTATACGTACATTTTAAAACGAATAAAATAGCCGGAAATTCATCACCAAAAACAAAATGGTTCACGAATCCCGTTTAATTCAGTTCTTAACTCATGGGTCAGAGTTAAATTAAAAAAAAAAAAAAAATTCGTCAAAAGATCTTACCACACTTCAATCACGATTCACGAATAAATAAAAAAATTCAAATCACGACTCACGAGAAAAAAATCGCCCTATCACGTTTCACGTAAAAAGTCTAGGGGACCTTCAATTTACTTATAATGACATCTATAATGATAGCGAACGGGCGCGGCGCACGGTAACATGCAACTCTATTTATTAAATACAGCCTTTCGATGGCGTTGTAAGTATGAGTCGGTGAGAATTCAAAGTGGAAAAACAAACAAACAAACAATCTGGAGAAAACACAAGTTACCTAATGAAGCATCAAACTAATTGAGCTGTTGGCACGAGTTCTGGGACGAAGAGTGGATTATTATAAATTAAAAGAGTGTTAGAACAATTGTCAAATTGAAATTGCGGATTTCCCACAAAGGAGAGGGGAACTTCAATTTATGGGTTTGGCTTTTGCTTTATTCAGTTCCTATACGGAAACCCAACCTTAAGCACTATTACTGATACGAAGACGGGCCACACAAAGAGAAGCTGAAACGCCTTCAATATGGAATTTCAAATGGTCAGCGCTGATGACCTATCAGTTATTAATTAAATAATCCCAGATCCTTATATACTTAAAAAATTAAAACAGCTTTCACACTTGATTTTACTGTTTAGCTTGTGTTTTAGTGGAAATTTGTTAGATAGTATTTAGAAACATGTTGGGAAATACTTCTCTTTTTCTTTCCTTTTTTTCTCTTTTTTTCTTCCCTCCACATCTAAGTCCAACGTAGAGATATGTGTCATTCACAAGCGATGCAAATGTTCTCATAAAATTAAACCCACTACAAACCACCAAACTTGCAGCGCTGATGCTCAATTTTCTGGCCTTCTTAGGCCAGCGCATGCACTTGAATGATAAGTCATGCGCACGGATTTTCGCCTAAAACCTGTTTCTATGCTTTCCGAATTTTAACTTAAGCTTTTAACGTTAACTTTTTAAACCTTAACTTTTTTAACTTTAACTTTTTAAACTCTAACTTTTTTAACTTTTACTTTTTTAACTTTAACTTTTCATGAACTTTAACTTATTTAACTTTAACTTTTTTAACTTTAACTTTTTTTACTTTAACTTTTTTAACTTTAACTTTTTTAACTTTAACTTTTTTGACTTTAACTTTATTAACTTTAACTTTTTTAACTTCAGTTTTGCCGTCAGGCTTTCAAAAGCCTGACGGCAAACGGTCAAATCTTATCATTCGCCCCCAAACAAAAAGTATTGTATGGAAAGTGCGCGTGAACGATTTTTATTCACGAGTGAGCGTTGCGAACGAGTGAATTAACATGGTTCGTGTCTGATTGGACAAACAATGTATTTTCACAGTCCGTTCAGTATGGATGAAATAAATCTTCTTATTTTCATTATACACTGATCTCACCTTTGTCCTACTCTATCAGTCTTCATGCCGCTCATGCCTTGGCTAATCTTAATTTTTTGCTTCATCAAAATTAAAATAAATAAGAATTCAGATTTTAGTTCAGCTGGTTGTTTGAACAGCTGAAGACATATTTTTTACCAATTTTCAGTTTGATAGGAGTTTTTCCTATTTTGATTAAGCGGGCTACATTTCTAAGCTTTTGCGTGACACAATATTAAAAAGGCGACCGAGCATGCTATCACGTAGGTTAAAAAAATTACTTATCCGCTGAGATTTCGCAGTCTGAACAACCCTTGTATTAGTATAAGTACTAATATAGATCTTTATGAGCGCTCAGAAGACGACTACAGGCTTTTTATCGAAAAACTCGATGACATATGTTCTTGTTAGTTTCCGGCCGCCATATTTTTGCCCCAAGGGGACACAAAGCTGGCGTATACATTTCTTCGAATATCTCCCGCCCGAAGCATCGCACAGACCTGAATCTTTCTGAGACTGTTTGAATATCCATCTTCTTTTATCGCTGAGATTCTTGACTTTATTTGTTGAATGCTTTTGACGATGGTGATGACAGTGAAAACCGGCAGTAAATTACAAAAGAACAGATTGGCTCAAAGTCAACGTTGTAATGCTTAATAGATCAGTCTTCGGCGAGCGTCAGCCAAGACGGCCTTTAGCCCTTTCATTTCCAAGACATCATTACCAATTTTCCTCATAATTTTATTTTTGGCCGTAAAAAATGTGAACCATAAAAAATTTACTTCTAACAGCAATGGAAAGAATTTAACAGTTAGCCGTAAAATGGCCAAAATTTTAACAAAGGAATATAATCTCTTAGTTCTAATCATGAACCGTAAAGGCCATCACGTGCACTTCCTTGAGACCTTGTTAACAGTGCTTGAATTGGAGCGACTTGAGGATCTGGGGCGGATCTAGGGGTCGGTTCGGGTAGTTCGGTAGAACCCCCCTAAATTGTCAAAATGCTGGAATCAATTTTCTGAAGAACTAATTTTCAAAATCTCCCGGGGGAGCATGCCCTCGGACAATTCTCCGAAGAGGGTAGCTACATTCCATATTTATAGTGGAACAGAAATTGGACATCTTCATACTTGCGGAGATTCGACCTTTGAGGGGATCATACCGAAAGGGTAAATCCAATAAAATATGATAGCTATGTCTTAAGGATTATTAAATTTGTCTTAATTTCCCTAGAAACCGGCAATGAAGCCAGACAAAATGCCTTCG